TTTAATCATTTATTCATCTATCTATTAATCAGGAACAGTAAAATTCTTATGTCAGTTACTGTATATTAAAGTAGAAATTATGCAAATTAATATAATTTCTTGTAGTACTGTCAACTTGTGCATTTATTGCACCGGAATAGTAAAATATTCTAATCTTAATTACATTAATAGAGAAAGGTTGCAAATCAATTAATAGCAATTGCAACCATTTGTCACGGTACGCCGTTACTAATTAAGTAACTGTAAATTAATGAATGCTTATGAATAGATAAGATAAGGTTATATGCTATGTTTTAATGCGCTTGTAGCTGATAATAGGATGGTAGAAATGAGATAAAAATAGAAGTTGTTAGCAGTTAATTTACTGTAGGTTTATAAGGTGTGTTAATCTCTAAAAATTGAGCTGTATATGGACGAAGGTTAAGCGTCTTAACACCTGATAGCTTGTAGCTATCTAAGTCTGAGAATATCGACATGTATATTTAGTAATGGTATTATACTAATTAATGTAACTTGTAAAGCATGAATTCTCACTCGTTAATATTGGAATTCACTGTAGAAACCTATTTAAGCGCGTGTGTTTGTAGAATAAAGTAAGTAATTGCTCAAGAAACGGCAAGACTTATATCGTGAAGAATAGTGTAATAATTAGTCAGTTGTCTGTGGAGATCAGCCGAGAAATCGAGTTCTCAAATACTTCTCTCATAGAAACTGAAAGTACTGGGAGAAATAGCCCAAGTTTTAAGTAACTACACTAGAGTTCTTTACTTTCCTTTGCCACAAGTGAGGGTTGTGACACCATTTCATTCATTTTTTCGTAGAATTATGTATCCGTATTTTAGAAAAGTAAGATCGTAATATTTATCGCCTTGCAAAAGGAACAACATAAATTACAGAAGCTTTCATTTCAGCTATCCATCGATCTCTACTTCAGTATGCAGATAAATAAAATCCTAGCTGCTATTATACAATCATAGAAGTATTAATTACACTTAATATTCATTTAAGCCATGTGTCTATTGCCAACTCCAGATAAGTAGATTCCTAATCAAGTTCATATTTTCGTAGGAGAGTTACACAGTAGTTTACATTGCACTCATAAAGACCACAAGGAATCACAAGTAGAATTATAGATCTTATGGCCATCCTAACAATCTGTATCACTGATAGGTTTATAATTTATCCTCTACAATTAATTTAATAAGTGGAAACTGCCACTCGCTGAACTAAGTAACCAAAAATATTCACCTAAATTTGTTTTCATCTTCTTGATTGGCATCGAATATCCTTAATATTCATGCTGTTCGAGTAAAATAATAAAAATCTTTTTAAGTAATTTTCGTCTTTTATTTATACAATTTTATATTTCCATACTATATGACTTACTAAAATGAAATTTTAAATTTGATATGCGATTAAATATTGGTCCTAAATTCTTTTAACGAGGGCAATATTCAAACATCTAAATTAAATTATGATGTTTAAGGCTTTAAACTGCATGTTGATCGATTTAATGAAATAATGAGTTAAAGTTCTTGCCAGTTGAGTGATGACAGACCATTAGAACGGCTTACCATCAAAATTTGTACCTGGAATATGAACATATTATAATATATCAATTTTATTTAACTTTCGAGGATTACAGTTCATTGATTTTAACGCAGTAATACGCTCAGCTAGATATCATATTGAAATTACACATAATATTAGAAACAAAAATCTAACATAATTTATCGTACACAAGATTTGAATGTCATTATTTCTGCAAAATATAGACAGTCTATTTTTAAGAAATAAACGGCAATGAAAACAAATTATAGAGCACCTTTAAAAATTTTCTTAAAATTTATATAAGCAGCCATTTATTCTTCAGATTTTATTATATATTTTCAGAAAACATTTTTCGCAATTTAGATGCAATATTATTGTCCAACTGATGCTTATAAGTTAAGATTACTAAGTTCGTTAATGATCAAAAATAAATTTTAAGATTATAGCAATGAATTCGTTGTCGATTTGTTTATTAAAAGGACTGGTATTCATAAGCTTATTCTTTTTCAGTTCATCATCATATTAATTATTTATTATTAACCGTTTACTATCAAAATAATGAGTTATGGTTGAATACTACTGATACATGAAATATTGATATTTAATAAAAGCTGACAAAAAATATGAATTCATTCTACCGAAAGATTCTATTTCAACGGCGAAAATAAAGAATTTTAAATTATCCAACTTGTAATCTAATAATGCCTCCGGAAATAGTTAATTCGTTTAATAAATTAAATTTCTAAATCATTCTACTATACTAATAAATTACGATATATTGCTTTTTTCATAGGCATTGTTAGTACGCTGCTACAAAATATGAAAAAAGCTGGTCCTGTGATAAAAATTAATCACTGCAATATTCTGTAAAAAACTTAGCAACTGCAAACAACTATACAGAACCGTAATAAAATGACCTGTTAGTAGTGTCAAATGTAGTAGTAACTATTCAAGTGCAATTTAAACTGGATAGGTTATGATATTATCAGAAAAACTGTATCTTGATGTTTATGATTACCTTATTATTCCAATTCACTAGCTGCTTTATTATAGGCTTCAATAGTAAATATTTTTGCCTGTAAAATCACTTAAATATTTTTTAACATTAAAGCGAAAATTTTAATGTAGCTATTTACTAATCATCCTCAGTGATAGATAAATCCGGAACTTGCTATTAATACTTAAAATTTACATATTTTATTAATTGTCGGAAATCGCTACACTTTATGAATAATCAAACCAAGCCGTTGTAGCTCAGTTTTCAGATAGTATTCAATTTCTAGGCTTATAGAAGTGCGGTAGATGAAAAAGGTTTAATCTCTTGTAAAATTGCTATTGAATCCAAAAAATATAAATAACTTTATCTAGATATTTAATAGATCTAATCGTATCTAAAATTTGCGATCATTGATATTTGAACGCACCTAATAATTATCAGGCTATTAAGCTATATTAAAGTTTCATACTACTTAAAAAATAATTAATGGATAAAAGAAAGTAATATTATGTTTATAAGGTCTAAAATTATATCGATTTGTTTAGACCATAACTTCTAGTGCAACGAATTAGGATCTTCTCGAGCTTCTTATTCAATAAAATTTCTCTATCTTATTAAATAATAGGTTTTTTGCAGTCGCATGATGACAACACATAATTTCTCACTCTCCCCGCATTAATCATTCTCGAAATTCATGTATTTCCATCCGTAGCTACTAACATATGGAATAAGATACATAATATCATACTTAAGTTGGCACCTATCTCGACATTTATTAAAGTTATAAAACATATGTTTTAGTATTTTTCTGATGGCACTCAATAGAAAACGATTCTTTTTCTTATAACAGAAGATATTACAGCTTTTTTGTCAATAAGCCTATCAATCATCTCCTACGCATAAAATAATTTATGCTTGCCTTATAACAGCGAGATTATTAGTCATTAGATTAATTTCTAAATGAATCTAATATTTATAGAACTGTATTCCGATAAAGCTATCAGTGGTCGCTACGACGATCTATATTAAAATAAACTATCTCTAGCAAAAGCCTTGCAACGTTCTACCAGGAATCACCGGTAATCCAATGCTTTAAACTCATTTAATAGGGAATAAGGTTATCATCGCTATAGATACTTGCTTTTATCAAGGATCTAGTGATAGGCTAACAAAAGTTAATGAGAATGCATTTTAAACGCTATTTTTATTCTTCCTTATGCTTGTTTCATATGAAATACAACATATCAACTATGCATAATCTCCAGCTAGAAAGAACAGCGAGGTACCATAGTAGCATAAATTATAGATCTTCGCCCGTCGTAATCAAAATTAATTTTCTACTGGCTGTTGCCGCCTATAAAATTGATGCTTGCTTCTGCGTTTATTACTTGTTATCTACTTTACAGGTGTTACTTTATAGACTATTAACACCTTTACCATACAAACACTAACGTATAGCCTAACACACAGTCAACTTCGTTACACATAATAAAATAGCATCAATTAAAATTCTCACCATGAGACCGAATTTCAACGCCTTATTCGCTGTTAGAGTCTACAAAGCTAGTGAAAGGTGCTAGGAATTTATCTAATTCCTATTCCTCTATCGCAATGGTATCCAGTTATGACTAATGTCATTTACAAGGGTACCTTCATATTATACTTACAGACAGCCCTTCTGCATTAAATTCTAAGAGAATGCAGTAAACCTACTTAAATCGCCGTTATATGGTCTTACTCTGGCTTCTTGTCATCTATAACATTTTATGAAGTAGCACCATCTGTTTCATTGATTCTCGATTTGTTTGTGGATAAAACTAAGTACCTAGACGTTCTCCCGTGGCCTTAGTTACTCCTATATCATCAAAAATGTTGAAATCTAGCCTAAAATGGTTATTAAATTCTGATACTTCCGATACTACTATTTAAAACATTCAGTTATTGAGCTGACGAAAGCCCTTGTTTGCTATCAAATAAAGTTCATGAAATTAGAACTATTACGTTAATATCAATTTACAAATCGTACAGGCACAAGTAGTTCTGCATCGATATAGCATTCATATACAAAACTAAACTTGTATGTGTTACTATGTTTGTACCCATATAATTTTTTGAACTAAATTCTGGAGTAGAATGCAAATTTACCGTTTGCAATCTTAAGATCCAATTTTTAGCCTTTTATAAGCCATGTAGTATCCATGGAAGAAATACCTATTATTTCATGAAAGCGATATATGAGAGCATGTTTTATCTCATGATCTATTTAAAAGTATACTTTAATAATACTTTATATATCCTACCATACTACACAGCATTGCATTTAGTAAAAATTATTCCTACCTTTTCATTAATAATAACATTTAATTGAATTCTGTATTAACTAAGAGCCAGGTTTTATTATTTCAGTTCGCAACAAGCAGCTATAATTCCATAATACTTTTTCCTATCTAAAATGGATATACAACAAAAAGGTATTTTCTGTTATCTTTTATGGTCCATATTATGCTTGGTAAGTTACCAAAGAAGGCTTCGCAAATAGCTCAAGATAACATTATTGTAACTCTTCTAGTTTACGCCTGATCAAGAATCATAGACTAATGAAATTTCTTTTTTCTCTATGCACCTTACTACCAATTCATTGGTGGAAATTTTATAGCAAATTACATACGGTAAGTGCCTGGAAAAGACGTAATTTGAGGGAGCCAGCATAAGATTAGTAATCTATCTATTGTATATATCCCTGTAAAGTATTTACGAAGTTTTTACTTGTAAAGTAGAATTGCAATTATTTATTAGTGTCTTAAATGACGCAACCTAATCTATGAGTAAGAATTGGATATTCTTGTCCAGAGGTAGTTATGAGAGACATAGCTTACAGCACTGCAAATAATATCTATTGAAATTTAGATTAGAAAACTATTGCGAGTAAGGCATCAAAAAAATCTCTCAACATACGATTGTGCAAAGAATGAACTCTATTTATGCTATGTACTCGGTTTCTATGTCCTACATGTAGACCTACCACGATAGCTATTATAGCAATAAGTCTGTGCTACATCTCACTAATCTTCGGTAGATAATTACAACTTACAATAAGGATTCTCAGAAGTGATTCTAAGTATCCATATCTATATACATAATATATTGTGCAGTCTTGATGTATGGAGGATACAAGTGCATGGCAGAATCTTCGATAATGTTGGAATAGTTAGCAAACAGAGTTATTGAAGATATTCTACTAGAGTAGCTTCGGTGCCTTTACTTACGCTTACTTTAAGCTAAATCCAGGAATCGTCCTTGTTTATGATATGTCTAAAAATCAAAAGAAGGTCATACTTGGAGTAGAACGATGATAAAATTAAGTAGAATACATACTTTAAAAATTTTTTTGCATGATTTAAATCTAGTAGCAAATAGAGAAGCCGTAACTCAGTTGCTTTTCGATTGATGTAACCTTGAAGTAGAATTATGATTAACCCAGGGTTACTATTCCTTACGAATCATATCTTTGTATGATTTAATCTAGTAGCATAGAGTAAAGCCATAGCTTAGTTGCTGTTCAATTGGACTAGTCTTGAAATCGTATAGCGATTAATCCAAAGCTATTACTTCCTTAAGGACGCTATCTTTCCATGATTTAATCTAGTAGCATAGAGTAAAATCGTAGCTTAGTTACTGTTTAATCGGAGTAGTTTTAAAATAGAATTGTGATTAATCCAAAGTTATTATTTCCTCATGAACGATATCTTCGCATGATTCTTTCTCTATAGGCCATGGAAACTTTGACGTCGATCTTTCCTCAGTCAATTCGGGTTATATCCAACCACCTGATTACTATCCTCCAATATTTCCTGACGTAGCAAAATATAACTGGACTTTAACTACTAAAACTGACCATACCATTATTATCAACATCGTTAATTTTAATTTGACATCGCGAGTTGATGGCGTTTGTGAAGATTACCTGCGGTTCTCTTCGAATTTAGATGGGTCAGAGCCAACGGTCGAAGAATATTGTGGCACTATCCATCCAAAATATATTCATCATCACAGTCGAAATTTATTTATTGAGTTTCGAAATACTCGTCTTCGTTCAAATAGTGGTTCTTCAACATTTCGATTGGGTTATTCATTATGTGCGTAAAACTTGATCAGCTAATCATTTTCTGTTAACCCACAATATCATGGCTTGACCTTTCTTAAATTTAACGATTTAAAATTATTATTAGATCACTTGTAAAAGTTAACAATAGCTTGAGAATCTAAGTAGTCGATTATTTAATTCGAATCTTTCCATTCCTATTATTTCTACCGTAACTACTAAACAACTTGATTTAATATTTGATTCTTAAAACTACTCTTTGACTAATTCGAGTACGTAATAGTACTCCGTTAGTTATAAGTTCTAGTTAGCAATACTTAGCTCAGCAACGAGACTGATTTTGTTCGAATTTCACGTACATAAAACTGATTCAATGCATGTCCCAGAGAATTCTCATCTATCGTCAATTTGTATCAGTCCGAGTAATAATGAATTATTGCATATCTCGTTCTAAATAGATATTGAAAGTAAGGCAATACGATTTGATTACAAACAAAGATCAACCACTGGTCGGCTATTAAATAACACCAATATGCCAATTGGAAATCACAGTCCCGTTCAATTAACCTGTGGCTATAATGGCCCACTAGTATCAAAAACTGTTATTACTTGGTATCAAAATAGTCGCATTTTAGGTCAATATAAGCCTAGAAATCCTCCAACTGTTAGTCAATCAACACTTTATAATCTTACATCATCCAGCAAGGGTATCGGATTACATTTAACAACCTTAATGGTCTACAGTCAATATCGATGTAGCATTGCAACTCCAGGACAGCTAATTTTCCTTGTCGTCAATTTAACTAGACAATCTGACTATCAATTACGTATTGTCGGACCTTATAATGTTATAGAAAGCAAAGAATTCATCTTAGAATGCGTAGCAACGTTCACATTAGGTAATTCTAGTAGTAGGGACTACTTTCAATGGTATCAAATTGGCCAACAATCTCAAATTCTTGTAGGTAAGTATCCCCAAAATTTCAACTTTTCAATCCATTCTACTTGTAAATTAACCGTCTTATGATTATCCTATCATGTTGGCTAGCAGATGATGATCGCTATATCAATATTGAAAATCGAGGAACAAGATCGATTTTACATATAACTTCTATCAGACGATCTGATCTCAAGAATTATAGAACTACGTTTAGATGCAGTTATTACGGCAATGCTGATACTAAACATACCTTCCATAGTGTTTACATCTTATCCTTCCAGAATAAATCATCAACCTGTCGAAGCCAAATGAAAGATGGCTACTTCTGGCCAGAAAGTCAGGCTGGCGCTGTAGTTTATATCAGTTGCAGAGATAATAAAATTGGTGAGCTATTAATAACTCAGCTTTAAATTTAGTTGCTACAGTACGAAGTAAGCTAATAAAATTAATATTTTATCATCCTTAGATGTGTATGAAATCTTTCATATTTTATATTTTATTCTCAATTTTTGCCCTAGGTAATGCTAGCCGTAAGTGTTATAATAATTTTACTGGAAGTGAGACTAATTACTGGGGTGCTGTATCTGTCATCCATTGCACCAGTAGTTCATTTTGGACTTTGCAACAGGAGGTTCTAGCATTTTACGCTCTATAAATGAGTCATGATCACATACAAACCTATCAAGTGCTTCTGCTGCAGCAGGTGAATAGTAGACTAATCTTTGGCAACATTTATTTCTCCAGGCATCCCGGCCGAACGCAGAAAATTATAACGCTACAGCTATTTTAAGCAGATTGCAAGCCTTAACTGATCCAGTTGCTAATCGCACCTTAATTAGCGGAGATATTTTGGCATCTACTTCAATCCTGCAAAAACTAATTAATATCGAAGCTGAGCAGCCTGTTCAAGCTAGCGATACCTATGTAAGTGCTATAATTTTAAATAGGAAAATACTTCTACTATGGTTAAGATCACGATTATGGAAAAATAGAATACATCCATTATTAGTGGTATAATCTATGTGATGATCTATTAATACAAACTGCAGTACTAATTATAGCACATGCTACCGTACTATATTAGTATTGGTATTAGATCAGATAGTTGGCATCAACAGCTCAGGTAAACAGCTAAAACCTCTTCAATTCGCTTTTACTTTAATGTGCAAAACATTAATGGCTTCTAGAGATATTAAGTCACAGAATGAGTTAAAGAAAAATTAATAATGAAATCCTTAACCACAAGTACTTCATATAGACTGCAAAAAGTTATTCGCTTCAACTTTACCTGTAATTTTACTTGTAATATACGAAGCATTCATGATTCTAGAAATACGTACCGTATAAGATTACAGCTTGAGCTAAACAAAAATTAGCAATAAAAATATTTATCTACAAGAAGTTGATATAATAGAACCGTTTATATCACTTCCTTTTACAAATAGCCATTAGCTACAACACTTTCCTGAGGCAAATCTAATGTTTGCATATAGCGTAACTCGAAATTGATGATACACTAATATAACTGCTAGAATTTCATCAAGATTGCAAGCAATTTAATTGACTTAAGGAATCGGGCGCAATGGATGGAAATACAGCAGGTTCGATCTCATAAGTAAATTCAAATAGTAATAATCTCCGTAATTCCACTCACATAGGAAATAATTTAAAGGCAAATACTGTGAAATAATAAAAGTTATTCATTCTAGGCCATAGTTATTATCTTACTTATTTTTGTAGGAACAGCCTGGAACAACAAAATTAAGCCAAATTTTAGAATTATTAGCTAGAAGAATTGATGTTGATAACCGAACGATCATTATAGCCACTGAAAACATAGGTTGAGTTCAAAATGATTTTTTATGGTAGTTATGAAGCAAATTCCATATTATTCATTTACATTTTTATATTGCTTTAGTGTGATACATTTTAATTTTGAGGTATACGTATTAAAATGAAGATTTGAGAATGTGCAGAGTATATCGATTACTCAAATTATACGTATTTCTAACTATGCACATTGAATTAGTATAGTTATATCCAATGTTTGCAATCCTGAAGATAATCTCATTTAGTAAATAGAATCATGTAGGACTATGTGAAATTATCTACGGTCCTAAACATCGCATCTATGTCATCTTATAGCTATAGAAATTAGTGCTATAAGTACGGAAACGAACCAAAGCTATCATTTTCCCGGCAACACCTTTAAGCCAATAGCTGCTACATCAAGTAAAATATATTTGGGGAAAAAAATTCCTGCGTGGCTGAATGGAAACGATATTACCTTACCTTCTTCATTATTTCAAGGTATCTCCACTTTTTAGTGTCTAATTACTAATTAATTGTCAATTTATATCTAGAGTTCTAAGAAAGTGCGTTCTTTATCTTGAATTTGCTGTATATTATATTACGTTAATTTTTTATACCACATCTAATCCATGCTCAAGCTTCCTTTATGATGATTGCTGTAGAGATTTAAACCATTAGCTACGATATTATTTTTGCTATAGCCATCATAGCTTATTAAATCCTTTAAAAATGTTTAAATCTTAATAGATCAAGTTTACTATACCGTCTTATTCTATATCTGCAGAATATGAACATTCATCCAAGATTAAAATAGTTAGTCTGGCTTATAAAACATTAAATGAACTATTTCCCGCAAGAATAGACCCCAATTTACGGTAAGATGGAGCAAATTACTGGCTTTCAATTGCTATTATAAATATTTCTCTTGTATCATCTTTTAATCTAATCATGATTTTTTCCTATAAGCTTTCTGTATTCTGTTTCGTATTTTACAGCATTATTTACGTATGATTTACCATTCGTAGCATTAAAATTAACTTAAAATTACAGACCAAACTTTGAATATTGGACTCCAAATACGTTGATCATTTCCACATCACTTTATCCACCACCACAACAAGATCTAGAGGAGTCAGTTGTTTATACCTTAAAAAAATTATCTATTAACGAGGTAATTTCATAAGTATTTGTTAACTTTAATTTCCCAGTCTCTGAAGCCGATTTCAAGTACTTTTCCACAAGGTGGCAATAAGATTGACCAGTTTCGATTTCTATTAAGCTATACTATCTAAACTAAGATTACATTTATTGTATCTCTAGTCTTGGTATGATAAAAAACAATTCATCGCAACTGAGGAGTTTTCTTGCGTATTTTGGAATTATTCGAAAGGGTAAAAAATGGAAGTTTTCAAATAGTAATAAAAGACCTTCTAATCTAAGCTATTAACTTAATAAGCTAGAAAAAATAAAATTTCTAACTTAGCACTCACAGCCCACTATCCATAACATTTATGTAACAAAGAGTTGTTTTTTATCTGTTAAAATGATTAGCAGAGAAGGAGCTTGGTCTGATGAAGGATGTAGTTTGGTCTACTTGAATAGTACCCATCTTTCATGCCAATGTGATCATCTAACTAATTTTGCTGTTCTTATGCGATTATCAGAAAGAAATGTGAGTATTAGGACGCTTAAAAAGAACAGTATAGACGCCATTGCATATTAAATTATAAATACTGGAAATTGCTAGGAATTTAGAAACATAAACAGTTATTAATTAATTATTGCTTATTACAGAATAGTCAAGCTGTTCAATTTTCTCTTGAAATGATTACTTATTTTGGCTGCGGAATATCTGTCATTGCACTAACTGCCACCTTAATTATCTACGGGATTTTGTGGAAGTATGATAACTTAATTCCTAATTCTCAGCTAAATTGCAATGCCATATATGCCTTTAAATGCCGGTAAAACTGTTTAATATTACCCGATGCACCTATATATCTTACCATTATATGGCAAGAGTTTACAATATCTCTATTTGACTAGCGCAATAAATTATACTAATGACACCAGCTATTACTAAGCAAGCATATAACGTAACCCTTAAATATAGTTTACAACTTGATCTAAAATTTAGCTTGTTTACGAATTTTCTATTATTATGGTGGTAAGATTTAGCATTTGTACGTCTATAATGACAGAATGAGTTACGGTAATTAAACTTTTAATAAAGTATGAGCTGATCATTTATTAGCTCTTCTACGCTTACTTTTCCATTAATTACTGTAAAGATATTTAAAGAACCCAACCAATAAAATCCATATGAATCTATTTGCCTGGATGGTTATACCAAATATGATAATAATGGTGGTCGATTTAGCGAAGAATATCAAGGTAAAGTTAAAAATCTTTTAGATTCGGTCTAAATTAATTACAAGGTGTTAAATTTTAAAATTCATGTAATTTTATCGAAGATTAATCAGATAGATACACTTTTTTTCTCTATTTTTTGTATACCTTTCTATCCAGCCTAGCATCGACTATCAGTTATTAAATCTAATAGAATTTACATAAGAAAGCTTCACTTTTACCTTCTATTATTACTATTTTAGGTCTTGTGCGCAATATTAGCGTGCATATTACATTTTTCATTGCTAACTACATTTATGTGGATGTTAATTGAGGGAATTCACCTTTACTTGGTTTTGATTAAAGTATTTGATGTTAATGAAAAATTTTTATACTACAATTTGGGGGCAGTAGGTATGATTTTTAAGAATCGACAATGTCTCATCTTACGAATGAATTCGTATAACCTGTTCATAGCTATATAAATTTTCAATGGATATTTAACATAATTTGAAAAACTGCTTCCAGGTATTCCTGCATTAGTAGCTGTTCCAACCATAGTTATTAATTGTGGAATCCATAGCGTCGATTTTTATTTAAGTACCCAAGGGTGAGCAAGATAAATAAATATTCTATCAAAATCATAAAATAGGAGTGTATCATAACCAATGTTGTTTAATCAGGGAATGGCAAAGAAAATTTTAGTGTTGTACAATATATATTGTTATTAATGTTTCTTTACAATTTATCCACCTAGCCAGTCTTGACACAATCATTCATTATCCAAGTTAAAAATTTTCTTTATTAGTAGTTTATTCCTCTACTTAATTAATAATGATAATATCAGAACTGTTAGCTTGAAACTAGATCATAAACTGGACAAAATAATAGAATAGCTTTTAATTATTGATAAAACATTTTTGAACTCTTACTAATTGTAGCTGCTGGCTATCTGCTAAAAATTGGATTATTCTTTCCTTTATAATCCCATTTGCCTGTATATTCGTGGTATGATTGCCTACTAGTTCAAATGGAATATATATGGCTTTTCTTATAATACACGGAAAGATTTCTTGAGCTAACAGATCATTACATTTTCACATGATGTTTAATAGTATATGTATTCTATGCGAAAACCAGTGTGAATTTGATACGGTACATTTCATTGATATTTTAATTCCTTACGGTAACTAAGCTTCATACTGACTTCACTCTAGGCCAACATTATTTTTTGTGTGATGGCAATCCATACCATATTGCATACGCAAAAAATATCGGCTGATGCCAAAAAATTACATAAAATTAAGTAAGAATAACTTTATAATTATTAATCGCCTGGCTTTTGTAATTAGGCCGATATTCACTGTAACAATCTTGGACATACGTTAGCACATTTTCTTACGACACCCATATATTATTTTAGGATTGCGTTAAGAGGTCTAACTATTCTAACGCCAGTCCTTGGCTTAACTTGGTCTTTTGGCTGTCTTCTTTTACTATGGGATAGTCCTTTCGTCCAATATTTGTTTGCAATTACCAATTCGTTACAGGTCTGTTATGGCTGCCAAATTATTGTAATGATATTAATTTGAATTAAGGATCTTTTTAAGCTTCAATTAAGAATGAAAATTCTATTTTTAGGGCTTATGTGTTTTCCTGGTTTACTGTCTTTTTAATCATAATGTAAGTGAATAACGTTTACTTTTGATAATAAAATACAAAGCCTGTAAAGATGGAAGTTTTATAGTATCATTAAATAGTTTTTGAGAGCGGTGTAGAGAAACGTTAGTCTTTATTGCAGCCAGAACTAGTAGAATCATGTTAAGGCTCTATGGCGTGAAAATGATATAATCTAATTTAGTAGCTATTGTAATCTAGAATAAGGTTAAGCATGCAAGTTTACAGTAAGAATACTAGAAGTATCTCTTTGATTAAGGAATCGCTTTATATTGAATGAAAGCATACTATAAATTTTGAAATAGTATCAATATATCAATAAGTGAGATTGAGTCTTAGATAGTTTATGAATTAGGAAGTTTATAAAAATAATTAATTTCATATTTCTTCGATTGACAATGTCGCAACTTTTAGATTTTAGACATACCTGTTAAGACATAACTATTTACCAAGTATAACATCAATGAATATTGTTATAACTCTCATTCGAAAGGCATAGTGTACGGATTCGGCAGTAGCAAACATACGCAACTATCTATATTTGTTGATAGTGATATGATAATATATTTGTATTTCTATCTGTTCAACTTTAAATCAAGGTTATATTAGTATATAATATATAAAGTCGATCTAACAACAGCTTGCATAGTTAAAGGCTAAAATCTAGTTAAACTTTAATCCGTATTGAAAAAATTAAATACAGAAATTGGTGACTTCGATATTATTATAGGTTCAGGAAGCATATCAAAAATATCGAAATCACAGTAAAAAGTTAGCTATTAGCTCTGATAAACCTGGGTAATATTTATCGTTTTTACTATATTGGCTTAATAATTTGAAGATAATAGATCAACATTAGATTCAGATACTTTCATTTATAAGCTTAGAAATTTCATTATTAATGATGAGTTTGCTTGTATCCACGACAGCTTCATAGTAGAAAAGTTGACAGAACCTCAAAGACATAATTTAGATTCTAGGTAAGTAAACTGATTGGTAGATCTCAGTTACTGTACAAGTACATTATTAATAAAATATGGTATATTTAACAGAAGCGCCATTTTGCTAACGGTATAGTAGAAAATTTTTGATTCATTTCTTGGTATGAAAGCTTCTGTACCATCGATAGTAGCTATCGAATAGTTAAACCTTGCTAAAGCATCAAAATAACAATGTATCCATCGCACTTTATAGTAATACGTAGCCTTGAGCAATGCTAATGAAATATTAGTCTACTATTTCAATACTGTCTAACATTCCCATATATTTACAATTTACTAATCGATAATAATTGGTAACCTTTACATCATTATACTCAAGATTGGACTAAAAAAATATAATTAGGATATTTTAGAATCTCATTTCATAATTGCTCTACGATTGAGTAATTTACAGATTAACTTAATAATAAATTGATCCGCATAGCTGTATCTTATTTTCTTGCTCTGTTTAAGTAGTTATACTACCTACTTTTCTATTCTGGATCAGATTTGATACATTTGTATTTCCTCTATTATAGTCGGAAAAATCAAGCAGATAAAGGCACCATTCAAACTTGTACATCGGAATTTAAACGATCATCGCCATTACTATCGGCGAATAGCCAAGAATTGGGTGATGAAAGTCTTCACAAATCGAACAATTCATTAAAGACAATATCAGAATCGGCATTAGAAATTACCAATCATTCCCCAAATAGAAATAATAGTTTAACAGATAGTCTTGCTAGTAGTACACAAAGTCAAGAATCATTGCAAGTCAAGGATGAAATTGATGAAGATTCAAAGGATCAAAAATCAAGTAATAGTGATTGTGATGGCTCAGGCGAAGAAAAATCTTCACCTAATCCGAGGGAATAAAACATTTACCACTTAAACAGTACATTTCTGCAAGGTATGAGACGAAGCAACATCCACATATAGGATTTCGGTTGGCTCACTACCATTGAGATTGATTTATATCTTAAGCTGTAGGTGGACAATGCAACAGATAGTAATCTCATATCAACTAAGATCGAAAGAGCTGTAAAGATAGAACAAAATTATTTCATGCATATTTTTACCAATTTACTAATCAATGTAGCTGTAATGCAAAGCATGCGCTAGTCATCTAAGCAAGTAAAGGATTGAAGGTTGATTTATACCTAAATGCTGATTAATGGATCTACTGTACTGTAGGTGGTATTCAATTAATTTTAAGGGTTAAATATGATTTTATTCAAGGTTAAGATTTTTTCACTTTCTATTCGTAGCATGACGTAAATGCAGTAAGATAAATCTACTCTAATCCACTCTGAACTTCTACGTAGAAGTCAAGATTGGCTGTAATTCACTTCTAGCAGAATACGAGATTTGAGGGAGTTTTTCTAAAGGTTGACTATAACATAGTAATAGAAAATAAAGTAGGTAGATATGACTTGATTTTTGGTTGTCCATTTCATTTTTATAGCGTTGTGTTCTCATGCTATTATTCGTGGCATGTAAATAGTAGAAAATAAATATTACATCATTACTGACGCTTTAAATCTTACTTGAAAGATTATAGTAAAGGCTCAAATTGTGCATTCAAAATTTCCCTTTTGAATCAATTTTTAATTTCGACCATTTTAGCGTCGGAAATAGTAGTAATACAGTATACAACTTGATTTTTGATGTGTCCTAGCTAGTAATCAATTAACCACGAGAAGTATCGTATTGGAGTGATTGAATATTAAAATGTTGTGGCAATTTCTTCAACTTTCTATTCACATTACAAATTGAACTTTGATTGTTTTAGCGCCTCCAAATGGTAATAAAGTATTAACTGAAATGATATTTGTCCACACTGAGCGATGTCCTCTAGTTGACAATCTGTAACACTTTGCTATATGGATGATCGAATGTCAGATATGCGAATTTCTTGGAATTTTTGAAATCTTATAATCTACTGTTTTGTATTTTGACCCTGTACTTCTGAGCCTTTCAAGTAGCAATGACGTGTTGAAAAAATAAAGTTCTTGTAGTGGTATCCTTGTTGGCACTTCATAGCAAGCTTTTACTTAGGTAATAGAGTATAGAAATTATCTTCCACGGTTTTGGTTTATGCAAACTGTAAATTTGAAATTCTACCATCAGTTTGCTCTTTAGCACCTTTGAACAGTCATAATGTATTGATACTTGACAGTAAGATGCTGTTAAAGTGATTGAGTGCTAAGAAATGTACAAATCTCTTCCATTTTCGAACTGGGCCAACTGCAAATTATGAAATTCAATCGTTTGTTGGTTTTTTAAACGTATGGAGTGGTCTTTAGGAATGAAACCGTTGAAGCAATAATACTTTACTTATCAACAGATCCACAATACTGACAGCAACGAAATTATTGCACTTTTCAGTATTGCTAGGTCAGATTAGCTCAAGGGGCAACAGTAAAGGTAGGAGAGACTTTAAAGAGAACGATATCCATGAAGATGATTGTAAACTTGCTGGATATCACATACTTGAGCCTGCTATATTTACTATTCGTTTTTGATTTAACATACATTACAGTAGAATATAGTAAGCTGAATGCCGGTTTACTTATTTTTTGCAGCTTTCGGCAATGTCTAGTCCCTCCCTTCTTTCCAGTAGTGCCGTGTAGAGAGGGACAATATTGGACGAATCTCTCCGGGACAAAATACGAGCGTCGTATAGTAGAAAAAAAAATGAATATTTTGTCTCGTGTCAAACCTACCCTGTGCTGCTTACTCATTACATAGGGTATAGTCCACTGTGCACACATTAGACTTTTATATCGTCAAAGTGGATTTTACCCAGTGACTGGGATAAATTTAAGCGTGAAGAGGTGTAGATATAACCACGGACTCTTAGTAAATTAAATCGTATAAATGGAATAAAATCATTTTAGCCTCATGTACTTCGCTCTTGAACAGCTTCGTAGAATACTAATCATGCAACTTTATGCTGCAGAAAATAAGGAAGCCTGCATTCAGCTGTTGTTGTCAACATGTTCTGTAGAAGGAAATTAGATATAACTTCAAAAGTAATACCAATATCTAGGGCTGTTGATAATAATTGATTGGTATCTCTATAAGCAATGTTTGCGATCATTGAAGATTGTTGATTTCAGCTTTGTAGAATACTAATCATGCAACTTTATGCTGCAAAAAATGAGGAAACCAGCATTCAGCTTCCTGTATTCTGCTGTGGTGAAGCTGTTGTTGTCAACATGTTACGTAGAAGTAAATTAAATATAACTTGAAAAGTAATACCAAAATCTAGGGCTGTTGATAATAATTGATTGGTATCTCTATAAGCAATGTTTGCGATCATTGAAGAATGTTGATTTCAGCTTCGTAGAATACTAATCATGCAACTTTATGCTGCAGAAAATAAGGAAGCCTGCATTCAGCTGTTGTTGTCAACATGTTCTGTAGAAGGAAATTAGATATAACTTGAAAAGTAATACCAATATCTAGGGCTGTTGATAATAATTGATTGGTATCTCTATAAGTAATGTTTGCGATCATTGAAGAATGTTGATTGCAGCTTTGTAGAATATAATACTAATCATAGAATTTTATTATCATACTAAGTTCTGTAAGTATTGAATGATGTTGTTGGCAATGGTTGCGTTGTCATCAAGTCAGACAACGTCTTGAAGCAGCTACGCGTTTCTGTTATGGTTGTTCTTAGTCCTTCTTTTCTAACATCTGCCATGATAAGAAGTTTTCTTTGCCTGATAGAGCTTGTTGTACTATGACGTAATATCTCCATCAGTAGAGAATCAGTCATAAAATCGGCTATTCTAAAATGGCTTGTGTCATCTACACTCTCGTTCTAATGAGTTTTGGAGATTTGGTTACATCTCTAAAACCAAGCTGGCAGCTCATTTCGAGCACGGCCAACTGCAGTATACAATATAGCGTACGATTACCGACGGTGTATATTATACACTTGAAATGATGAGGAAAAAATGGGCCTAAACATCGCTAGTATAGCCAACGATCGTGTCTTGTCTCTCCTTTCTCTTTCCAGTACTCCCTGGTCTGAGTGCTCTCTAGTAGGGATTCTCTACTACTATCCTCAAAATAATTAATCTGCATAAATGTTAATACGTTCAATCATCCACTACTCATCTCTGGGCTATTCATGGCGCCGTCTACAGCTTAGTGGTACTGTACACATATGGTTAAGGACAACTCCCTTCCACGGTAGTCTATTGCAGTCTAGGTGTACTGCAATACTACATGGGCACTTGGGCAGGTCTCATCAGCGCAACCTCGTCTTTCGTCATCCCATGCTACTTTTAGTGGTCATTTAGTTTGCAAATGCCTTCAGATAAAATGAAATCTACTCCTGCTACCATTTCCGATCCACCTTGGTTTTCGGTTACAATATGGCGTTATATTTTAAGTGGAACATCTTGTATGACAGCAGGAGCAAGTAAGTACCGTAGACTGATGAATGAATAATCTACTGTACTCAATTTATAGCAGCCATCAGTTCAAAAATGTCAATGATGACGGTGCGTTTCCGTTCCAATCAATCATTCAATTACTGTCATCCAAAGTAGACGATTGATTATACGCCGATAATGAATAAAAGAAACACAACTGGTCATTTCTAACTGATCCTGTCATATTTTGAGTCAGGTATTAGTCTACCATTTGCAAGCAAAGAACATCATTAGGTAGTCTATTAGATACAGTAGACGATCGATGGGGTCTGCTGGAGTGAGGGAGTGCTACAAATATTGCCATCTATTTTTCTCAGGTAGTCAATATATCCGTTCATCGTGCCTTCGATTCACAAATACGATATGTAAGGTGCAATTACTTTGCTATACTAGGATATGTATACTGTATAGTGGAAGTCGCTATGTCAAGAATATTCACAAGTGCACCATCGGCATTAGCCGAGACTATAAACAGCCGAGCACTAGCTTTGCTGCTCAGTTCTAGTTAGTCACTTGCAGGATCTTTTGACTATTATTGCTAAGAATATTCTTACGTTTTTCTTTAGTACATTTTACGATTAAGATTAACGAAAATAAAGTGAAGTATTTAAACCGATTACTCAGTAGTAGCTTATTTGTGTAGCTGAGAGTTAGTTCAACTACGATAGGTCCCTAAGTTAGTTGGGAACACGAGTACTAGTGAAGATAGTGTTTAAGACCCGGTTTCTTGTTACAAATGAGATTTTTAACAATTGTACAGTATGTAGTTCTACAAATCTCTTACAATTCTTAAAATGGGATATTCTATGGATAGATTGCAGTAATACTAGTAGTACTGTATGTTAGAATATGGCGTCATTGTGCTATTCATGAAGGACAACTTCAACGTTATCACTGACAACATCGAATAAGCTGTACACACTGTGGATAACGAGAAATCTTTCTTTTACGAATCTACCGACGTACTACATAGTGTTGTAGCAATCCTATTTAAATTAAACTGTACTATTTGTTATCATAAAGTTACAACAAGGATTAATGTGCCCTAGACAAGACGATAAATGGTTACAGTGTAGAGTATCGACGTTCTAACAGTTTGTTATTGCTTTGAGCGATTAAGCTTAACGACCACATATCAGATATGATTCGATAAACAGATATATGCCTAACTTATACTGTACAATTATGTAGTCAATCATTCATCACTGTTCATTGCTGATATACAATCCAGAACGCGGCAATTTATCATCTTATGATCAGGTAATATGTGACCATGTCTAATTTCTGACAATATCGAATAGCTGTACACACTGTGGATAACGAGAAATCTTTCTTTTACGAATCTACCGACGTACTACATAGTGTTGTAGCAATCCATTTAAATTAAACTGTACTATTTGTTATCATAAAGTTACAACAAGGATTAATGTGCCCTAGACAAGACGATAAATGGTTACAGTGTAGAGTATCGACGTTCTAACAGTTTGTTATTGCTTTGAGCGATTAAGCTTAACGACCACATATCAGATATGAATCGATAAACAGATATATGCCTAACTCATACTGTACAATTATGTAGTCAATCATTCATCACTGTTCATTGCTGATATACAATCCAGAACGCGGCAATTTATCATCTTATGATCAGGTAATATGTGGCCATGTCTAATTTCTATCCTCATCGAACTTACTCATGTATTTTTCAATTGGATGGATGAATATAACAACATTCTGTAAAGATTGAATTATAGTACCAGTCTATTCCAATGATAAACTCTGCATGAGATGGTTACATGATTGCCACTGATGTTACCAATGTAATCATGGATATCCATTTAAGTGAATGCTATTAAATTCACATCCACAGTCAGTTATCGTTATTTCTAGCTTGTTCGTACATACTATTGGCCAAAGCGTTAAAAATCGATGTAGTTTGATGTACTGTGTGTCTTTATTCTTGCAGTTACAAATCCAATCGATGTCATCAAAATCAGATTACAGTTAGAAAATGAATTATCTGAAAGTAGTCGCGGTATGCAAATGTTCAAAACGCGCTATTATAGAGGTTTCCTTAAAGGAATGCTTCAAATAGCCAAAGACGAAGGTTTCCGTGGCTTATGTAAAGGGTAAGAGAATGCGACCAACCTGTTTTACAAGTATTATGAAGTAACGATGATATAAGAGTAATGTAAAGTTAACGTACACTTTCGTCATTAAAACATTGATAGAATAATTTTCCTAGAATTATCTCAATGATAACTATTCTCTTATAGCGTCCTGTAACTTTGCAATACAGTACAAGTAGTTTATCCTTATTGCGTAAATTTACCACTATGCCTAGTAGTGAGTAACATCAAGCTCTTCTCCGTTAATACAATTTTGTAATAACAATATACGAGTTTTATAGCAGATCGAAATAACATGCAGCCAAACAAGTCTAGGATGAATTTCCAATCACAGAATGTAGATTCTGCCAAAAATGACTACTGTTTAATCGCGTCCCATTCCGCTAATTATTTAAAATGTAGTCAAATTATTCAGTATCCAAAATCGTAGGATCATATTAAGATTAGTCTTCAATTCTACAAAAACTAATAGTTTGCCTGTGTTCAATAAGCCGCAGTTTTGCCATCTAAATACAGTGCTTACTCACTCTCATTATATTAAGAATAACATAACGTAGCTGTGGTGGCAATCAGTTCTGACAGGTCTATCAAATGGTAATACTATCTGTTAAATGAGCACATTATCGTAAACCGTCAGCAAAGCGACGGGAGTTTGCACTAGTCTCCTTTAAAATGGTCCATTCCCTTCCTTTTTGAATAGAATGTTCGCCTCTGTCGTTCGTGAAGGATCCTATAGTACACTTAGAATCGGATCTTACGAACCATTAAAAGTTTTAATGGGAGCTCGTGATGTAGCTCACACACCTCTATGGAAGAAGGTTGTTGCAGGTGCAGTCTCTGGATCAATGGCTAGTTTAGTAACTAGCCCCATTGATTTAGTCAAAGTTCGACAGCAAGCCGAAGGAAAACTAGCTTGTAAATCTATAGTAAAACGTTATATTTATTATATCCTACTCACATACATTAATCACTAACCACTTTACTTAAATAATAATTCTGGCTAATAAATGTATGGTCATCTTGACTGTTCTAGTTGGTCAAAGTAAGCGTCATGCGAACGCTTTTGCTGCCGTACGAGATATAATCAGACAGGAAGGTCCTCGTGGTCTATTAACAGGCATGATGCCAACAGTACAGCGTGGTGGAATTGTTACCGCTGCTCAGTTATCCTCGTATGATCATACCAAGCATACTATTCTAAATTTTGGTTAGATCTCAATCAGCTTCTTAGTTTACTTTGCAATAATAACGATTACAACTGGGATTACGTAATTTATGGAACAAATCATTCGTAAATATGGATGCATGTATTTAACAGGTAAGCCAATAACGATCACTTTTTTTTATCGCAGGTGTGATGCGTGAAGGACCAGTTCTTCATATAGTTTCCTCAATGGTAGCCGGATTAGTTTGTGCATTCTTTACCTCGCCTGTTGATGTTGTTAAAACACGAATGATGAATCAACACAAAGGAGAGAAAATAATTTATAGGTCAACGTTAGACTGTTTCGTTAAAACTTGGCGTGCTGAACGCCTTGCTGGATTTTATAAAGGTTTTATACCCAATTGGATGCGAATTGGACCACATACTGTTATAACTTTTTTTATATTTGAACAGTTGCGTCGGATGGTCGGTATTGCACCAATTTAGTTTTAAATATGAATAGAAGATTATGCAACGGTACACAGTTAAATTGATATTTTTTCAATCTTAGTGCGTGAATATTTGTATGGATTGACGTATACTAAACGCTATTATTAGTCATGCGTAAACATACATGCTGTACGATAAAGTAAATCTACGATATTAATAATTATAAATGGATCGTGGCAGTATTTATGCGAGTTTACATGAACCCTAGAAGTACAATTTTACTAGTAAAATAATATTGCTACTAAACAAGGCAATATTCAAAACTGAAACGTATCGTCCTAAGCTTATAAAGGATTTTACCCATAAAAATTTCTTACTTGCTATGGTAATCATAGTTTTCTAATTAATCAAATTGAAATTTCATTTTATGACAATCAAACAATTATTGAAAGATTTTGCTGTTGTCTTGCATACTGCTGTTGTAGCATTTTAACGATACCTGCATAATGAGTATTTCGGATTCTAGCTTATCAGTATATTACAAGTGTAGATGTTGTGGACTGAAGTAATTCTATAGTTATACCTGCACACATACAGGCACTTCAAAAATTTATTATGCGTTGTGTTCCTTGCAAATGATGCATGGTACAGTAAAATAGTATCTGTAAATGTGTTATGATGACATTGGAAATAAGATAAATAATTTGATATTTTTTAACATATTCAAACTACAGTATAATATTGCAGAAAAAGCAATAAAATAATATAATATAATTACATCTTGTAAATAAAAAGTAGCGATAATAAAAATAATCTGTTTATAACTAATTTCTGATATTGTAAAGCTAAAGATCAACAATTAATAGATAAGACGTAGATTAATTAAAGATTACAATCGGCGTGATATGATAGAGTAGTGATGTGTTATTGATACGTACTCGTCCCTTGACAAGAGGGTTCTAATGAACGGTAACAAATCAAGTAGCACACCAGTACACTGTATTGTTTTTAAATAGGATACAAAGGAGCATTACTATTATGTCGTTAGATACTGGCGCCTGCTCTAAACCATCTAAAAAACTGTTTTCAGATTTACTGTAAGCTCGTGACCTATCATGTCAGGTAAAAATGCCATTCAATCAAATGGTACTGACAAAAACATGATATGCATACGCCTAACAATAAGGGTTAGTATATGAATTTACCAAAGTATTATTGCGTATGCATTCACTGCCGATTGTATATAATTATTTACATTTTCATATGTTAACGGAAATTGATGCAGTTGCAAACCGCCCATAGTAGCTAAAAGTTACAACCAATGTAAAGCCACTATCATTTTCAGTTAATAATTTTTTCACTTTAGAGTTTAGTTGAAGCACTCACTTTTTACATATAAATGTAGAACAGTGTAGTCCAGTTAACAAATATTTAACAAAGCCAAATTCTGGAACGAGATTAGAATAACGCTTGCATCGATAGCTTTTCCCGTGTACTTTTATCTACTGTTATCTGGGTAGGATAAAATAATAATGCAGGATTAAAACTTCATTGCAGAAGCAATCTTAACAATGAACATCAATATAACAACTTGTAAACGATACTTACTCCATTCCATATCTTTCTCTGTTCAAGAGCAGCTCGTGATCTTGATTTCCATTTGGCAGATATACCCTTAACATCGACTCTTTTTATGACCATCAGACCACGGGGCGGCATGCTAGATTCAGAGTCATTATCTATAGACATTTATGTAAATGTTATCGTTTTCCAATCGTACTGATGCGAAAGAAGTTGCACTAAAGAAAGTATCTTTAACTCTATCATAGCTTGTAAAGTCTTATAAATAAATGAAATGTTAATGCAGGCCAAATTTTTACTTACCGTCACTGCTCATATTGCAGCAATAAGATTTCTGATATTGTAAAAGCTGTGATGGCGATATTGATCTCTCCAAGACAATGACTGTTTCAGCCCACTAAATCATTTAAAACAACAATTTATCAGTGCTAAGTATTTGAAAGCAAAGTGAGCTTTCCAGCCCGATTGAAGTACACTATTCCTCGAACACCTATGATAACCCATAAGCGATCTAATGCCACGAAACTAAACTAAGCACTAAGAATTTCTCTGATACACTGGAAGGTAAGATGTACAGTAATAAACATAAGGCTTTCCATAGCATTAATACTTTCAGTACAGTCCCCAAACTGATGTTATTAAATATTTCATTTAGTGTAGTTCAAATTTATTAACATAATAATTACAATTCTATAGCTGACTTGCCGGCGATAATTAAGCAATGGCGTATTAAATTTATCTCATGGTACTTAACACAGTGTCTTCCAATAATAAAACGTACGTGCACGTAAAACAATTTTGATATCAAATTACAATCTCAATGATCTATCGCTACGAGTTTCCAAATCTGAATGATATCATCACGCTATTACTACAAGTTAGGTTGCGATATTAATTAACTGGCCAGAATTGTCATAGCGGACAGATATCTTATCACCGATCACTCTAATTTTTTCAAATATTACATTACGGAACACAAATTAAAGTGTTACAGCTATCGTTTATTCACCTGCTTTCTCCATTCCTTCTCTGAGCGATCCGATACTGATTGATATGTACTTCCCATCATAGCGATAAGCATGTTTAGTAATAAGATAGCCACCAGGATCGTAAAAATGACGAAGAAAACTTTCGCCAGAATAGGAATAGCCGCTAAGTCAAATTCTAAATACTGAGAATCATAGCAAACACTATCGTCAATGATAACTGCTATTAAATTTTCTAGTTACGTTTATAAATATTAAAGTAAATTTCAAATTGTTACTCTCAATATTTACGTATTTAAAGTTTACTTTAGAGCAAATTAAATTAAGCTAGAATTAGCTGACTTTCTTTATTTTTCCAAATCTTTTAAGGCAAATTTACTTCTATCATTTCAGAATGATTTAATTTTTATAGAAGTATAGTCTATTATATTTCGTTTTTCTTACACAAACAAATGGACATCAAATAAGAAATATCAAATGGCTGAAATTTGCTAACTCACACACCAATAATGTAATCTCGACTAAAGCTAAACAATTCGTTAACATGTTCAACTTACTGGAAAATGGCCTATAGTCATCTTAAATAAAGCCATCATAGTACCAAATTCACTGTCGAAGACTTTGCTTCCACAAGCTTTGTACATAAAGAAGTATGCTGATATAAAAGATAAAAAATGCAAATAAATTTAACTTTAAAGCTACGCGTTAGCGAATCTACCGTACATACTCAACAAGAAGAGTCTTAAAATTACTGTAGATCTTTTTACCTTGTGTCATGGCTAAAATGAAAATTACGTAAATGATGATAAATCTAGCTATATCTCCACTTAGCATTCTCGAAATCATTTCAACAAATGGGCCAAGGAACGATATTCCACTAATAGAAAGATGACACATAACATTAATTTTTAAATAGTAATTAACATATTTACTTACATACAGTATTTAACAGTCATTATTTAGCATGAATTGACATAAAAAATGTAATTTTATCTATTAACAAACCGGCAATAAAATAATAAACCAATCCAAGCAAATAAAACACCGAAAACGACAACAATATCTTCATAACTCCTTCCACCAGGTATAAATCGGCCCGGAATACAGAGAAGAAAGCAGATGCAAGACAGAACAAACGAAGCATGCGTAGGAACATGATACTGTAAGAAAGGTATTATTGTAGAAATAAAAATTCAGGAAATAAGACCTCTATTGATAATAAAACCTGGAAGTTAACTGAATCTTACCAAAGACCTTAAATAAACACTCATTCCATTACTATGGATAGCTTTGCTTTGCAATCCCAGATACATTATAGCTGAAATCAGTGTTAATATTTCAAACACATAACGAACCTAGAAGATACAAGTATACTTTAATATGTGCAGCAAACTCAACACCAGCTAATAACCAAAGCATTTATTACATCGGCTGAAATTGGTTTGAATTAATTGCTAGGCATACAAGAATAGCTTTCTTGTACATTTCATCAAAGTCGTTTACAAGAGATCTGATCTGTGGATATTTTGACTTACATAATCTGAAGGTTGTCTTGGTGACAATAAATCATAACTAGATCGGGTATAAATCGCGGTACTCATGAAAGCCAAATAAAAGCAGGCAGCAATAAAAGAAGCCACAAAATTTTTCTGACGGTAAAATAGTATGGCAACAAGCGGAAGAATTTTAGAGTACTGTTCTAATATTCATTATTGATACTAAAATATATTGCTTAATCTCTCTACTACAATGTTAAGGTATTACAATAAATGCAACAAGAAAATTATAATTAAAGGTAATTTATGCTTAAACTCTACGCTAAATATAAAGTACATAGCTATTGTCTAATTGCGATATACAGGTGGCATATATTTTATAATTTTGCAATAAACATAATTACTTTGGCATAAGCCTTCCATTTTTCATCCAGTAGACGATAAATGACTCCACTGTTAACCATTTCCAAATGACCATCTGATTCTCCTGCCACAGCCAATGCTAAAGCTGATTCAAGATCTAAATTTTAAGAAATTGGATTATTGGAGAGATAAACTTATATAAATATAGTTAGATCGAAAAATATTAAAAAATAAAAATTGCAATTAAATTGCTCACTTGTTCTACCATCAGGTCCAATACTATCTAGATGTTTCAGTGGGTAAACACAACATTGAATATCGCCATACTTCCATGCAATCTAACAATTAAAGCCGAAATATTCAGAAATATGCTTAAAACAATAAGCTAAAGAAACTTTATTTGTCCAATGGACGATGATAACTATATCTTGTGCACTAAATATATATATTTGGTAAATATACTGCAGATACACAGTATCAACAATATACAATGCATTAGGCTTCTATATTTGGTATCTAAATTACCTGGCTCTCCAATTCCAATAATTTTTCGAAAGAATCATTATAGCCTAACTGTGTAGCTAATGTTAACGGTGTTAAACCGGCTTTATTTTTGATAGAACGATTAGGTACTGAAGTATGCTTCATGACATAAGAAATCATGTCTAATTTATTATGAATTATAAGCAGATGCAATATGGTATTTCCAAAGGTATCTTGAGCATTGACTTGAGCGCCTTTATCGAGTAAATAGTCGTACATGTCCTTTCTTTCAAAGCAGGCAGCAAATGCTAATGGATATTCACCATAATAAGCATAGCCTTCATATTCAAGCGTATCTAATTCCAAAGGTAGGCTATCTTTTATTCGTTTTCGTTGACTTTCCGGCATAAAGAAACTACCACGTGCACGCTGATGAATGCTGGCATGACATTCATCAATCAATATTTTAAGCAATTCTTCATCATCGTTAACTATGGCGATATGGACGCAACTTTCACCTACAAATAATCATATTATACCATCATGAGATTTAGTCTCGGTGCACATCGATCAGGACTAAAGAAGACCGCTGAAATTATATCCGGGCTGTAACATCGATAATACTCTATGCTGGCATCCCATCAGTCTAAATATCGCTAATGATCATATGCTCTACCTTGAGAAGCGTCGAATGGTAATAGCAGGAACTACTTAATAAGTCAACGGACACAAACTGCTGACTATATCAAAGACTTGTCGTTAATAAAACATACTGTAACTGTTCTTTCAAGTGGATCTAGAATATCTATGCGTACGTATGTAGCAATCACAGGTAGTATTATGTATATATATATATACCTTTGTTACAATACTTAAGATTAGCAAATATTCGTACACACCGACAGATTTTCCTACTACATTGAAATGATTTTAATGTTCCTGCGTATCAGTGCTAGTATATTAACTTAAATTTAGCAATAAATTCAACCTGAACGTCTCATTCATACTGTGCCTCTATCATAATAATTTCAATCGCTTACGAAAAGTCTAACGTGAGTATAGGCGTAATGAAGTAATCATATGTTCAAATTAAACGTAAAAATTTCAAATATGAATGAAAAATTTCCTGATGTTTATAGATCTTGGCTGATAGCTTGATATTAAATTGTTACTTTGTAGCTATACTTTTGTATCGGTCAAAATAACGTACAGCTAACAATTCGATTCGATCAGTCTACAAGGCTTAGCTCAGAAATCAAAGTATCAATATTTACATTATCACATACACATATTTTGCCCGTTTAACCTTTAAGTGAGTCATTCCGGACCAAGTATCAATAACAAATCAAGGATAAAGCATAATTATAAATAATAGGTAAATAACCTGATCTAAGGGGTAATGGGATCATAATAATCAACGAATGATACGGAATGAAGTTGTAGGCTTGTACCTTGAAGTATTGAATTAAGATTTCAATATTTTTTTGACTCACCATAATATTCCGGTTTGATGTAGATATCATGTGCCATCGCCGGGTAAGCTTGCAGAAGGCATTTAGCAATTGCTCTGTGAACATCTTGATTGATAAGGAAGCAGATATGTAACGGCGTTTCACCCACTGCTCCGCGTTTATTCGTATCCCAACAGACTAGTAACTTTTCGTCATCACCATCAACAGTATCATAATCTCCATCACATCGTTCTGGATCGGTATCCTAGTACGGAAATGGAAAATATTCACTTTGATATTTCCGTGTTTATTTATTTACCAAATCAACGGCTTAATTCGTAAATTGCACGCATTGTAGCGAATATCATATATAATAATAATACATCATCAATTTCTAGCAACTAAAAATTTAAGAACCGTGGATCGGATTTTTGTAATCGGTACTATTTTAGAGACTTTGGAAGTGCGAGGATAAAAGAAAAAGAAATATCAGCATTTTATGGTTAAGAAATGATTTACAACTATTTTTACGGCTGCTCAAATTTTACGAAAAAACTATTCCATCGACTTTACTGTTCATGCATCGTAACGTTGACGATATAAGCTATGCGTATTATTCACTCATGAACCTTTCGTGATTTTTATTCGTTTAGCATAAAGACGGATTCGATTACGGTACGGCTAAAATGATCTCATGATAAATACTCTATATTTTTTTATTACTCATCAGTATAGGCAGTCAAGTCGAAACTATTGAATGATATGTAATTAAACTACTATACCAGGATCGCCTAGACTATTTCTTCTACGGCCGGGCAATTTATGAAGGTTTTTTATCAACCGATCCTACGTGAATTTCACTTTAACTCCCGGTCTTTCATATTTAATTTAAAAGTACTGTACGCATGAGATACAGTGATGAAGGATTAAGTACAGTATATCAATTTTATTCGCGATTGAAATTACGCGGCTAGATATTTGGTGTACTGTATATCTATCGACACTTTAGTTTGTCAATCGCGAATACTTAGTAGTAACATATACGCGTACATACTTCAGTATAAATTTAATACGAAAGCTAATTCAAGTTATTTGCTTATGTTGTGACGTCGAATCAAATAAAGTTAACTAAATAAGATATGCGTCAAGTTAATTCCTCGCAGCCGCATGTTTACTACTGTCAGTACTTGAAAATAACTAAAAACTGAATTCGTGTAATTACAGTAAATTATAGAATTATATAATGTATGCGATTATAGGCATAATAATAATATCATGTATGCTATGAAATCCACGTTTTAGCTTCCACGTGAGAGGCTGCTTTAAGTTAATGTAGTGCCTATTCTTTTGTAATGTAACAGTCTCGTAAATTCTGATTTGATATTCTTCACTTTTACTCTACCGTAAACTAGCTCAGTAAGGGATATAACTTGTTAAAGCGAAATCTGGTAAAAGCGCACTCCGTAGAATGACGACGATACTACTGTGTCATCTTGATGCGAGTTAAAAATTGTAATCGTTGTTTTAGATAAGCGATTCAAAGTAAACCCTAGTACTACATCCATGTCATTAATATAAGCAACAAAATAATTCTGGGATCAAGTCAATTTCACAGTGGTAAACCCAATCCGTAATACCCGTCAGTATTCAAATAAATTGAAAAGTTGAAAAAGAGGAAAAAATATGAAAGTAGCTACAGCAGATTTTCATTCTGTCTTTGAAAACATTTAATTACTATAAGAGTTTCAATCTTACCCTGGATTTGTCGTTGCATAATAACTGTGTGGGTGTAAATTGACTTAATTTGGTGAAAATTCCACAGCCTTGTTCACCTAGTAAATTCTTCGTAATTTGAGATTGACTGATGATTGCTTGAGTCTTCTCGTTCTCACCTTCAATATATGAATCCACTAATGAACCACCACCTTTAAAATCAACATATTTATAGACTTCAAATGATTCACAATTCTTAGTTTGATTTTTCCAATCGTCATCGATTAATACAACACGACTTCCATTAATCGATTTCGTTTCATTTAATGGCTTTACTCCGGCATTGCCCATCTTGGCCGCCTAATAAAGCACTTTTCTTCTTACCCAGCTGCCTCAAACTCAGGTGAAATGGCCAAATAGTTCTAATTGAATGGTAATTTCCTATCCAGTAGCAGCGATTATATAATGATCCAATAGGTCTGCAGGGACGTTGACTGTAGAATCAACACCTTTTGTAAGCCTGTTATGACTTTTCAACAAGGAATCTAAGAATCTTTTTCTAACTTTTTTCTTCAATAACGGTGCACGTCGATATTTTATCTAATAATTATCATTCATTTCCTGCTTATAACGTTACTATCCACATTTTTTCACTGAACCATCCTCGGTTGTATACTTAGAATATCGTAAAAAGTACAAAAATGGATGGGGTACACTGATTTTCACTGACGAATATTAATCACTAAAAGAGAATTTCCTTTGCAGAAAGTTTTCACTGGTGCATCAGCAAAACAGGTCGATCGACCGCTATGGAGTCATTAGGAGGTCATCGTACTGCGCGACATCATACTGTACAGTACGTACCTGTATCGATGACGATTCAGCGCGTAGTGACCTATAACTCAGGTCATAAAGGGTGAAGGGGCTGTCATGGAGTCCTGTCATGGCAGGCTATACAAAATTGCGAAAAATACATTATAGTATGAAAAATTCTTGGCATTTCAGGACAATCAAAAATCAAACAATGATTACTATAGAAGCAAGTAAACACCAAGATTTGAGCAAAGTAAACAGTTCTGGAGTCTGGCTGGAGTGTAATATTATACAGTATATTGTACGGATGTGCTTAGCGATACTCAGCAGTCAGCAATGGTTACTGTCAGAACTAGAACCATGATCAAGTGTAAACTGTACAGTACTCTACAGTACATGTAATACAGGATACAGTACAGTATACTGAATTTTACCGGACCTCTACAGTACAGTACAGTACAGTACTGACAGTACAGTACAGTACAGTACATTTTGGTAGAGTACTGTACACTGTACAGTGTACAGTACTTGAAGTGCAGCAATGCACCGCCATACGGGTACATTGCTAGACAATCAGAAGCACCCGCACCCTCAATAGCCAAATACGGTAGGCACCGGAACAATCAATCTCCATGGCAACGACGGATGTCACGAAATAGAATTTTTATATAGATATACTAAAGCAATACCGACGAATTCACTATATCTGCATATTACAGATTCCTTACCACGCAATACTTATATTTATAGATTGCGTGCAATAATTTTACTACTTTCTTTGACTTTTAGCAGGTCTCCAAAGAGGTGAAAGAAATTCGATCTTTAAATAGTCCCTACTACAACTACAGTAGCTGTAATAGTCAATAGTTTTGAGAATCAGAACCATGAATTTATAAAGGTGGATTCTGTTTGCAAGTCAGTAAGATCTACAATATGGTAATATCATTGCTTATATAAGTAGTACTTAGAACCAAAATGCTTCGGCTAGAGCAGCGTGAAGAATGTTCATGGCCTATGCGAACATCACCTCCTCCGCCTAGATGTAATCTATCATTTTTCTACATTTTACGGTATACCAATTGTAATAGTAGTTGCAATACAACGGAACAGAGTTTATTCCAATGGCTACGCAAGATCTGTAAAATTTCAAATCTTTACTCTTCATCCGACTAATTCTAGCCTTGATACAACAATGAACACTACCATATTAGTTATTCTCTCATTAATATGTAAATATCATACAGTACAATACGTATTTGACGGATAATTGATAAATCGGTGAAATCTAAATTATATTACAACTACCAAATTTGGCCAAAAATGAGAAAATGAGCATATTATATTAATGCAACAAATGGAAGGATCGAATGTACGAGTATATTGAAGAATCACCATCCACATTTCGTTGTAAATAGAACCTGCGTCATTTGTAGAATTACTTGATGAAAATATGGAAAACGAATTACTCAATTACTAGCATCGCAGAACTTGATGTTGACTTGCAATTCCTATATATCCGCTAAAAACTAATTCATAGTAACTCTTGTTTACTTACTAATAATAAACTAGCCTTGTGAGAGCTGAATGTAGGCCAATTTGTTCATATCTTTATCCAGACTAGACACTATACTCCAGCATTAGACTAATTGCATTACTATGAAGTAATAATATAACTTCTTACACTTGTCTCTCTCTTTACAATTTTAATCATACTGCGATCACTACGTCGCATGTTACTTCCTTCATAACACCAACTTAGCACATACTACGTATGATGCTTTACCTAAATCTCTAACTTTGTTATCTACAACGACTTCAAGACTTTAAGAATGAAATTTAAATAGTTCATACTCTTTTAGTAATCCTGCTTTACAGAATTAGTGTCAGCACTCATTCATTCTCGCAACTTTCCATCTAGTACAAAGACAACGCACAGTAGAAAATTTTGCAAATAGGTGTCGTGTTAAATTTATTTAGAAACAACCTTATTTTTACTAGTGTCGTTTGGAACTTTACACTATCAGATCGTAAACGATATATTGAACGAAATTTTATCTTAATCAGTTTTCAGTGCATCAGTTAAAGTACAATTTCCATTTCAGATTTAAGCACTGATATCGTACCCTCTACGGCAATAACAGTCGTAATGTAACCGTGTGGTATTATAGTATAATGAGGCCATATTGACTTCTAGCGTGCTCTTGATGTTACTCCATGCGCAGAACTACAATACGCTTATAAAATTGCAGTTTTCTTACAGAAAAATCGCAAATTTTTGCGTACTCGATAACCATTTGCCAGTAATCATTAGTAGCAAAAGTTCCTACAACATCTATGAATAATTCTTAATAAAATATTTATCTAACCGGTAACAGTAAGGCAAACATGAAAAATGTTCAAATTTAGCACCATCGGCTAATCTTAATGAGTTAAATATTTTTACGATATTCATTATTTTCATTTACATCGTGAATAAAAGGTGAGATAGAACAAAAACAACAATTTATATTGTACAAAAGCAATCATAGATGGTTATTCTAAATTACAATCTTCATTAAGAATGCTTGGAATGAGCCATAATATCTGCTTATTTCTCGTTATAAACTATAAAAAACGTTAAAAATTACACTTGTCAATTTACGTACAAAAATTACAAAAAAAAGGCAAACAATCTTAATTTACCTCGTCCATCAGCTACCGGCCTAAGATTATCTTCGGTCGTAGTCAATACACCAGCAGTGGTCACCTACACATCAAAAAAAAAATAAAAGAGGTTATTACAACACAACTATCATAACGCCGAACGTCTTCACGACGTATTTTCGAATGTACTAACCATATCACCAGAGATACCTCCTGACATACAACCAGCATGAGAGGAAGCTTGAAATTGTATTTCATCATCTTGATTTGATCTACTAAATTCGGTACAATCACTATCTGACAGGCTAACTTCTTGAATTCGTATCACTTTGTCACCATCTGGACTCATATCTACGTGTGAATTAATATTCGGACAGCTATAGGATTGAATAACCGGTTGATCGCCAATGGCATCAGTAAAAAATACATCACTCGCTTGAGTTACAGGGCTAACACTTGGCAAGGAAACGGCGTCAGTCGTACCATCGTTAATTTGAAATTGACTATTACCAATTTCGGCAGTGCCACCGACTCCATACCCATCATCCAAGATCTTCTTAATTTTAAACCTGGAAGGATGAGTTTCATCGGTAACTGAAACTTTTGGCCCCTGTTGATTCTCTTCCGATGATTTCACTACTGATTCGTGACCAATTACACCAACCGTGATATCGCCTATACTTACTGTACGACCATGTGAACTGACTTCTAAAGGTTTAGTTACCTGTTGATCCACTTTAATACTGGTGTTAGGAAGCATACCCCCAGTAACAACGTTAGCATTGGTCGGCTGCTCATGTTGAGGTACATGCTGATCAACTACATTAACGGCAGCATTTTGAACAGTGGGTTGAACATTTCGAACAGGATTATAATGGTTTTGGACCGGTGGCTGGGATATATTGTAATTTTGTTTGTTATTGTCTGATAATTCATATACAGTATTCCCTTGATTTGTTGTTCCCTGGTCAGGTTTAAACTGAAGAGGTGAAATTTGTGATGGTAATGGTACTGGATTAGAGTCATTTACATTAACCGACGATACTTGATTAGTACTAGGTTCCCAGCGATTATATGTTACATTAAGGCCATCCGATACAGCTGGATTCACAGGTGTCACATCGCCAATGCTTTCATATGACTGCTGCGGTATCTGTCTAAGACGTTGCATTTGCACCAAGTTTTGATAATACCGTCGCGTATTCCAATCAGTAACAGGATCTTGAAATGAAACAGGTAAAGTAGGCATACTTTGACGCAACGGTATACCAAGTAGCACCGATGGATCGTACAATGTTTGTTGTAATCGATTAAAATTGGGATTTCGTAAATCAGGCGTACCAGCTTCAAGGCTTCCTTGAGTGGCTTTCTGCTGCTGTGTCGTTATGAAATTAATTAAAAAATGATATTGATCATATGTCAATTCACACCCCGAACATAAGTTATTAAATAAATGCGTGGCAAGAGTGATCATATTATGAGACATAGTCTTCGCTTGCTGTAAAGTCGCCTTCCAAAGAGCATCAGCTTGATCTGGATCAGGTACCTGAGATGTTATGCCACTACCCCACGCATTAGGATTTGCTAGTAGTGATTGTTGAGCAGCAGACAATGCTGCTGGTGGTTTCTGATTAGGGTTAAACATCTGACTTGAAGGCTGTTGCAGTATCGGTTGAGAATTGTGCGCAAGTCCAGCGTTATGCGCAATTTGTGCTCCTTGATGAACAACATTTGCCACATTCTGACCAGCAGTTGGATATTGCAGCAATGATTGTCGTGGTACATTAGGCAGTCCACCTTGTTGTCCATGATATAATACAGAGGTGTTTGGTTGCTGTAGCAATGCCTGACTATTAGCCTGCAAGTGGGCAACAGATGTTGGAGACGGTTGTGTTTGACTATTCTGTTGAATTCGAGATGACAACTGAGTCGGGGCATGTTGATACTGTGAAGGATGTAAATTTGGCGTAGTGGTAACAAAAACTTGCTGACCAACACTGTTTACGGTGTTATTTTTATTCTGTAGGGACTGTTGCTGTTGATTTAATGGTTTTTGATTTGGAACTCCGACCTGTGATTGAGATGTAGACGTAGGCATTGACTGAACCACTTGAGGCCCAGTTTGCGTTTGAAATGTCGCTTGGAGTGTTGAGACGGTAACTGATTGTGGATACTGTTTTACGGCCTGATTTTGTCCTTGTAATGGCATGCCTTGCTGTAAAACTTTTGGCTGTTGCATCCGATTCATGGATTTGCCTAATGGCAGAGTTTGTGGAGGAATAGGATAATTCTGCTGTTGATTTGACATCGAAACTCCTTTACTAGTAACACCTTGATTGTCATGGATACTTTGCATACTAGTTGATGGATGAAGAGGTGTAGAGTAAATTGAGCTTTGGTTTACAGTTGGTTGATTAGAAGTATTGGTCTCGACTTGTTGTATAGTCGATTGAGCGACTGAATTTTGACCAATTACTGTTTCAACACCTTGCGTAACATCAGTTTTGGTAGTGCTTACTTGTGGGGTCGAGACAACACTATTAGTTTCTTTCATTTTACTCGAAGTAGCATCTTCATATGCCTTGATAGTTGCAGTAGTATCTGTTACACCAGACCTTTCATTTCCGTTTTGGGATTGTTGTTGCTGTTGTTCATCTTGTTTTATTACCTACGTAATAAAGGAAGAACCAATTATTACTGCCTCTAGTGATAATTATCAATATTTAACAGACAACTTTTACAATAATCTTACAGCTTCCTGGCGAGATTTAGCAACCCCTTCTATCTGTGTCGATCTATCGTCATCTGGTGAATTTATCTATTGCAACATACATCGAAATAAATTGTATAAGATTTAATATAGTATCCTATACTATAATTTTTGCAAATAAGATTTAATCTCCTTACGTTACTATCTTTGCTATCGGATGTCGAGATAGTCCGATGCTGATCACTTTCAATCTAAATAAGAGTTTATGATATCAATTATCTTATCTATCTTTAGCTACTATGTCATCGCTAAAGAGCTAGTTGGTTACTACAACAATGGTAGTACTGTACAATCAGAAATTTGGGTATAGTTATGTGTCACCATACATAGTTTGTAATCGGTACATAAGTGTATATCATCATAGAAAAAATCAAAAAGATTGAGCATTAGGACCATAGCAAAGTTTTGTGATATACCTCCTGTGTACTCGTCGGTGTTCTATACTCTGCATTTTCTTCCCCTTTAGTAGAAACTCTTGATTTCTTAGATTTCTCGGTATCGATGATATCTCGACGATTCTCGATAATGTCACGTATTTGTTTACAAAATATATTTGAATGGATTTCTCGTAAATGACCGTGTTCGATCTAACATTAAACAATAAGACTTGATTAACTTTGATTCAACTACGATACCTAAATTTGAAAATTCAGCAATTATGTAAGCACGCCATAAGAAATTAATTTCATACCATATTCTTTGCCATATCCTCAGGAGTATCATCATCTGATAATCCAAACTTAAAAGTTATTGTCTGCTGTTTATAAGTTTCAAAAGAACATTCTACAACCTCTCCTTCAGTAGATATAACTGTCAATTTTGGCTTTCTATCCTTTGCAGATTTACCCCCTCTTGGACGTGTAGCAGATTTGTTAGCTGAAACTGCTTTGTTCTCACTGTCTTGTTGAACAGTATTAGCAGTCTCTGACTGTGCAACAAGCTGATTAATTAAGTCTGCAGCTTGATCCTGAGTATTTTCTACCTGTTTCTGATATATAGAAAAACAAAACGTTATTAAATTGATCAATTAAGACAATAACAACTTTTTTTATTGCTGTTCGTTACGTTATTAAGGTTGATAAAATAATTGACTCAATTTGTCGGTAAAGTAATTGCAATAAAATAACCTTATCACTTTCATCAATGTTACTTGTTTGCCTTCTTATTTCGAGATTAACAGTTGAAGGCGCTTCTTGTGGCTGTTCAGTACTCTGCGTTACTTGTTTACCGACATTTCCAATGCTTCCGTTGTCAATTGATACGCTTCTTTCCTTCTTTGCTTGATCGATTTGATCTCGGACAGCCTTCACCACCGATTGCTGTTCCTCGCTCGTTAGTATACGCGATGATACCTAAATACATAATAAACAATATACAAAAAAAATGATTGTTAACATATTCATTCAATTCAATAGTTGATTAATGATCTATATTATAATTGCTCAATCAATCATAAAAGGAAATTGATTTAACCATTTCGTTAGCAATTTTTTCTGCATCATCTGTTTTCAAGTTAAAAGCAAACTGAATTGTTCGATCGTCCTTTTTTTTCTTCTTTGGATCATCAACTCTAAGAGCCATATGTAGTGTATCTTTCTCATGAGAGTCTTTTTTAACTTCTATTTTAACTTTAGGTTCATCTTCTTGAAAGAACTGATGATTCAGCAGAGCTTTTATCGTAAATCTAGTATGAAATAATATGTCCCAATGACGTCAGCATAGTCTACAATTTCAATATTAACCCCGAAATCGATAGCAAATTTGAAAAAAAAGTACGCGATCGACATTTTTAGATATACCTAGCGTCTCCTTGGCGTCGCGTGCAACCTTCAATTATGTCTTTCACTAATGGTGATTCTACTTTATCGAAAGATTGCGGTTTAACTCCCTAGTAATAAACAAAATGATATTTCAATTTTTACTTTCCAATTTTATATCATATACCAACAACCACATACAACTTCAACAATTTTTTATATAATAACGAATTGATCATTGAATAGTTGTAATCCAAATATACCAATACTAATGATTAAGTACTAACACTTGTAACAAGACGATATATTTGGGCTGCATTTTGACATTCCATGTAAGGATATTCATTCGTAGTCATTTCTAGGAGGCACATGCCAAAAGCGTACACGTCAACAGATTCATCGTAGTGTTCTTCATACATTTCAGGCGCCATAAATTCCGGTGTACCTATGATCCGTTATTATATTTTGCCATTATACATTACGGGTAACATACAATTAACTTTTAACAAGCGTACAGTAGTGGGATTAAGAAAGCTATGTTTACAAAACATAAGGAATGTACAGTACAATTAATCCTTTATTACATTAAGTTCTTCTGGGCTATCAATATTTTATCATGAACTGTAAAAAAAGCTACACAGACTAATGAGAATAAAAATAATTATTTCATATTGGCCCACAGTTGCAATTGGACGTCAATACGTAAGTCAATTCATTAGCAGTAAAACGAAAAAACCAGCTAAATTGGAAAATCGATCTTGAAAGCCTAAAATCTATTCATCGTACTTGCTATTGTATTCCTAGTAACTTATAGTATAATGCAAGGAAACAAATATGAAACAAACTATGTAATGCAATGTTAGCTTAGGCATGGCAAGAGTAGACGTTGAAACAAGGGATAATCTCAGGATTACATTGGATAACGTAATCACTTACCGATCACACTTTTGGCGTACGATTGACGGCGTAGTGTAGCCAGGCCTAAATCACCAATTTTTACGTTACCATTAGTGCCATTGACGAAAATGTTGTCGCACTTTAAATCACGATGGATTATAGGTGGTGTTCTCGTATGTAAAAACTGTAATCCTTTCAGAATTTGACGAGACCACCCACGTAATATTTTCAAATTAATTTTCGTCCCTTTAAATCTCTTCAAATATCTAGAGTCATCAAAGTTAACAAATGGAAAAGTATCTGTTTAATTTAAGTATCATTCTTTCTCTCATCATTGCATTAATAAAATATAAAAAAATGTTGTACTGCAAAAGTGTAAAATAGCTCATTCCAACTTGATGAAACTAATTTCTTTACTCGATTCCACCCTCTCTCGACTTGATAATAAATTTTGATACTACCCTTCTTGTTGTCAAGTTATACAATAGTAAACTACCATGACACAAAGACTCGCATTCTACACATAATTGCACCATTTTGAAGACACCGTCGATGGTTTGGAGTTTAGGTGAGGATATAATAGCGCTTATTATTCTAAATAAAGCAGCGTTATAAATTACGCCCTCCTAATTGCTGGCTACGAGTAGATCGATCATAGCTAATGTCTACATACTGTTGCTATTAGTTGATGAGTGGCCAATGGATCATACTGTCAAAAAAATATTAAACGATAACATCAACTCTTCTTATATTGTATGGTTGCTGCACCCTACCAACCCGAATGGTAACCACTGACAATCACAGGCTTCACAAGGCACAGCAATACGTACAGTAGCTCATATCCGGCAATTTTTGTACAAGATATTGGATGAAAGTACTGTATAATTAGATGAAAAAAAAAATTTGAAGGAAAAAATAAACCAAGGATAACAATAATACAATAATATCGTTTCCAGTTGAATACAAGGATGGAAAGGGATTGCTGTTAATATACCATTATTATAACGATAATAAGAATGAATAGTAACTCCAATCAAAATGCTATCTTTCATATCGGAGTTGTTGCGGCTATTCTAATGCTAATCATTCCTACCATAAACGCATCAAAGCCCTGCAGAGTGTCGTAAACGGGTAAACAACCTCATCCTTTAATTGCATTAAATGGCTAACCACTACATAGTGTAGTAAGATCGATCTTGTATGCTTCTCAAGCACCGGTAAAAACTAAATCATACGCTTAGGAAAATTTCAAAATAATTTTGTTTGTACATGGAAGAGACATTGATATAGCAATGGCTTCCATGGCTGTTGAAGGTAGAAGGGAATGAGTATTTTGTATTGTTTTCAAAATGGTTTTGTATAGTCTATTGGCATAAAGCGACGATTAAGGTTAATAAAATTTACGCCAAACTACAGTATCTATTGTATATTACAACACTGTGTAGATGATACTGCACTATAGAAATGATTAAATTAATGGGATAGCCGTAGCCATCGAAGTTCAAATTAGGTTTTCCTTTTCTTTCATAGGTAAGAACTGGGACAATTTAGCTTATTCCGCTACCAGTCATAATTTTATAGTTTTAGTACGCTATTAATTTACTGCACCACAACTAATATAGTAAATCAATCCATCCGGTTACAGTAGAGTATATATATATCTATATATATGCACTCCAAATATACACATTGCCCGTCCCATCGATGCGATCTCTCTCCATACGAATATATATATATATAGATTATACTTCGTATAGAATAGAAAGAACGGCACCGTAAGACTTGTAGGAGAATGATTGAAAATTCATCATTTTTTTTCTTTTTAGCGTTGTAAAACAGCTTCAATTAATGAGTGGACCATAGGGTACTTAGAGCAAGCCATAGCATAGGCTAATCCATTGAAACCCAAGAGAAATCAAATCAATATCCACCGGGGGAGTACAGAGGGAGTCTTTAACTTTGCATACCAATTGAACATATCAAAACAAACAGCTGATAGAGTATATTGTAGTTATAGGCTGGCAATATCGTATTCTAGTCAAAAGACTATACTGTATCAAGGTAAAAGGTTGATAAACCGCGGGGAATACAATAGCATCATCTACAACTGTTATTTATTGCAAATGTGAACTATTATTGTAATTTACAATCTCTTATTACTGTAATACGAACGTTTTTAATGTCCCTGAAGTCATCAATTCGGTAACCAATATCAAGGTTTTCTTCATTTTACCATTGCGTAAATCATTCTCGGCTTCCCAAGAGTCATGAAATTTAACAATGTTGGGGTGCTGTAGTTGTTTGAGTATATCCACCTCTTCCTTGAAACGTGTACGCTCTAATTTGGTATATTTTCGATCCTAAATTATCCAATAAAATTATGTATCCATAAGAATCATGACACCCGACTTGGGCACACAAAAAAAATAAAAATTAAGGAAAATGGAATAAATTGAATAAGCAATTGTTGGCTTAGTTCAAGGGTAAAATGACTACCATCCATACTATGATGCCATCATCGTTTGATAAATTTGAAATGATGTGGCTTGAAAATGAATACACTGTGTTTCTACGATAAGCCAACATCATTGATTTTATCAGTATGAGAGAGTGAGCAAGATGATTGTCATCATGACTATGAAAAGTACAGGTTCCATTTTGGATTGTATGAATATTGTATTGTATGGAATTGAGGTAGTAGGCCATTGATAGAAGACGATCATTTGGAGTCAAGGGTAATGGAGAGTTTACCTGCAATTCACACCAAGCAACCGCAACACCCGTTTCTGTATCTAAACCTTTATACACTGTCTTGAAAGAGCCACGACCAATTTCAATATTGAATTTTAAAAAGCGTCCATTAGGGTTAGATGCAATGGCATTTTCTTCCACTTCTTCACCTTCATCGGTAGAATGGGGTTGTGGTTGGGAAGCAATGGATGGACTGATGGGTAGAGTTTGCTGAGATTGCTGCTGCTGTGGTAGCAATGGCTGGTGCGGCTGCTGTTGAGATGGTTGTTGCGATTGTTCATCGCTATTTTCTTGATCTTCCTCAGGTGTAACTCGTTCACGCTGGCCGGTTATCCTTTCGTCTTTTTCCTTCATGACATTGACCTGAGTATCACTCGAGTAACCATTGACCAATTTATCTGCTTGATTGCCAACTTGGGCGGAAACAGTTATCTCATTGCCAACGTCCATATTCATTGTGAATGGTGCAATGGAGGTGATCGAATATTCAATTCAAAGTAGACTAATCAATACGTTGGAGACGAATTTTGTTAAGCATGATTGATTGGGGAGAAAGTGGTCACTACGAGTATCTACAAAGAGCAATGGACACCGACCGTCCAATTGTGCCTACTCCACTGGATGGAAGTTTGAATTTAAAGAAGGAAAACCAACCAACGATCCACTCTAATTGTGCTGCGCAATGCACAGTCCTGTACAGTTTAACTGTACTTTCTAGCAAGCGCTAAATTCAAGGACCAAGACGCTTGGCAATTTCCTGATTCAGAGAAAAAAATGGATTCAAAGACAAAAATGGGCACCCAAACTGGCTAATCCTCTACAGTACAAGGGATTGGCCGACAAAGGCACAACGTGTTGCAATCACGACCACTTACTAGACTGGTTAGTATCGCTTCACCACAGGTTGGCTTCAGCCTTGGTGTCATCCTTCAAAAGCGTACAGTACTGTTATCAGTGAGGTTCAATTTTGGTGGGTGAAGTGTCATTAAAGTCAGTCGTACCCGCCACACCGCCATAGGATTGGATGCCGTCGCATGCTGTACTGGAAAACTGCCTGTAGTGTATTGTGGTCTACCGTACTTTGTACTGTAATTAGCGACGGAAAACCGGCTTGGAGAATGCGGTCCGGTCTAGTCGAGTAGAGTACAGTACTACAGTGGACTGAAATGGCTAGTGCACACGGCAGACACATTCTTGTTATGGTAGGCGAAAAAATAGTTTTCGATCCCTTAATTAATTAATTAATCAATTAGTCCTGCATTAGTCATGAATTTGGAGAATGGATGAGTCATAGAGCACGATTAGGCTTGATGACTGTTAAAGGTAGAGTGAAAATCCGACACAACGGCCCCAATTCTTGCCCAGTGCCTATCCATTTCAAGGCATAGTGTGTCATCGTGTCAGAGAAATCCGACATTCCTTTTTCCAGTAGTACAGTGCATACGTCATTGATATGCAATCCTGGCGGATATCGACTACTACTGTACACAGCCGAGTAGGGTCTCGAGTCTGCAGTATAGTAACTCTTGTTGCAACAATCACTTTCAATGACTCCCTACGGCTTGTACTGTATATATAGACGCCAGCCCACTACAGTAGAACAGGAATGCCTAAAGCGAGATGGATGAATACTGTCCATGAATAACGGACAGTGACAAGAGTACAGAACGCGTTTTACAGTATGACATTCTCCGAGATATCGGTATGAACTTGTTATTGATGAGGAAACAAAGGGGGGGGGGGGAAAAAAATGGATTTTTTCTCCTGGCCTTGGTTTTACACTTTGTAAAGCGTATCTACGAGCAACTACCATAAGAAAAGATAGACACTGTATGTTAGATAGTATGAGCAAGGGGAAAAAATAGACTCGATAGTTTATCTACGTGATCTTCTTCTCCTTAGAACATTCTCTGTTGACTACCTACTACAGTACTAGTCAAGTCGTTTTCTTCTCTCAGTCTGTGCCTGTACAAAATGCTATAGTACAATACTGTACTGTATTGTACTGTGGGGACAGACCAGTGGACATCCATCACTCAGCTGACGTGACCGACTGATCGTGCTAACTGGATTTTTTCTCCTGGCCTTGGTTTTACACTTTGTAAGCGTGTCTATGAGCGACTAACATAAGAAAAGATAGACACTGTATGTTAGATAGTATGAGCAAGGGGAAAAAATAGACTCGATAGTTTATCTACGTAATCTTCTTCTCCTTAGAACATTCTCTGTTGACTACCTACTACAGTACCAGTCAAGTCGTTTTCTTCTCCCAGTCTGTGCCTGTACAAAATGCTATAGTACTGTACAATGCTGTATTGTACTGTGGGGACAGACCAGTGGACATCCATCACTCAGCTGACGTGACCGACTGATCGTGCTAACTGGATTTTTTCTCCTGGCCTTGGTTTTACACTTTGTAAGCGTGTCTACGAGCGACTAACATAAGAAAAGATAGACACTGTATGTTAAACAGTATGAGCAAGGGGAAAAAATAGACTCGATAGTTTATCTACGTAATCTTCTTCTCCTTAGAACATTCTCTGTTGACTACCTACTACAGCACTAGTCATGACGTTTTCTTCTCCTAGTCTGTGCCTGTACAAAATGCTATAGTACAGTACTGTATTGTACTGTGGGGACAGACCAGTGGACATCCATCAGTCAGCTGACGTGACCGACTGATCGTGCAAAATGGATTTTTTCTCCTGGCCTTGGTTTTACACTTTGTAAGCGTGTCTACGAGCGACTACCATAAGAAAAGATAGACACTGTACAGTATGTTAGACCGTATGAGCAAGGGGGAAAAAATAGACTCGATAGTTTATTTACGTGATCTTCTTCTCCTTAGAAGATTCTCTGTTGACTACCTACTACAGCACTAGTCATGACGTTTTCTTCTCCTAGTCTGTGCCTGTACAAAATGCTATAGTACAGTACTGTATTGTACTGTGGAAAGAGACCAGTGGACATCGTGGATCGATCATCCATCACTCAGCTGACGTGACCGACTGATCGTGCAAACAGGAGGTCGTGTTGAACTTGCAGTGACTGCGTGACCATGCCGGTGTAGCGTGTGCAGTGGTAGTCATTCACGTTACACAGACAACGGTTGGTTGTTACTCACTCCGATTTGACCACGATGATTTGGGCTTCAACCCGTTTTACCGGTTCCAACTGGAGTACGTGTGTTACATCGCAATCAAGTGTCACTCCGACTCAGTGGCATGCTTGTCCATACAGTACAGTCTAGCGAGCTTGTTGTTTTTCACTCTACTACGTTTCTACAGAGTTTTTGTACTGTCCTCCAGTCTGTCCTGCGTATCCAGGTTCAACTAGACTACACGCTACATTACCAAATCGTCTTTGACTCCGTGAGTCTGTATTCTGGATGAATGTTCCAGAAAGCGCTCAAGTAAAAATTCTTTCCCCCCAGTACTGTACTGTACTGTATGAATAATTCATTGAATATTGGATGTTACAGCGCAAAAAAACTTTTCAGGAATTTTCTCTTTTTTTTCTTTTACCGCTGGTTTTTTGCTTCCAAGGACTCATTCGATTGTACGCATGTCATTCATTATACAGTCTATACAATTGCTTTTCACATTCAGTACTGTGCTGTAAATCAGCGCATATTTTTATGGTTGATTGGATTACGCAACCCGTCCAAACTTGAAGTGTGGTTCAATAATGTCGATGAACATCAAATTGAAATGGATTCCATCAACTTACGAGCATATTGTTTGTTTTTAAAATCTGCATTGAATTTCTACACCCTCTATTTTACTCTACCAATCGTCATCCTCGAGGAGGACCAAACGATGTGTGTTTTAATGATGTCGATGAACATCAAATTGAAATAAAATCCATCAACTTTCGATCATATTGTTTGTTGTTTTTAAAATCTGCATTGAATTTCTACACCCTATACTTTACTCTACCAATCGTCATCCTCGAGGAGGTCCAAACGATGTGTGTTTCAAATAAAATCCATCAACTTTCGATCATATTGTTTGTTTGTTGGAAAATCTGCATTGAATTTCTACACCCTATACTTTACTCTACCAATCGTCATCCTCGAGGAGGTCCAAACGATGTGTGTTTCAAATAAAATCCATCAACTTTCGATCATATTGTTTGTTTTTAAAAATCTGCATTGAATTTCTACACCCTATACTTTACTCTACCAATCGTCATCCTCGAGGAGGTCCAAACGATGTGTGTTTCAAATAAAATCCATCAACTTTCGATCATATTGTTTGTTTGTAAAATCTGCATACAATTTCTACACCCTATACTTTACTCTACCAATCGCCATCCTCGAGGAGGTCCAAACGATGTGTGTTTCAAATAAAATCCATCAACTTTCGATCATATTGTTTGTTTGTAAAATCTGCATTGAATTTCTACACCCTATACTTTACTCTACTCTACCAATCGTCATCCTCGAGGAGGTCCAAACGATGTGTGTTTCAATGATGTCGATGAACATCAAATTAAAATAGAATCCATCCACTTTCGTGCATATTGTTTGTTTGTAAAATCTACATTGAATTTCTACACCCTATACTTTACTCTACCAATCGTCATCCTCGAGGAGGTCCAAACGATCATCCGGTACCTTCATCAATTACAAGGATAGGATAGAATGGTCAAAATTCCCTAGTTGAACTTAATAACCAACATCAACGTGACGACAACGTTATTACGCCACTGCTTTCCTCCTACTGAGCTAAATTTGAATAATTCCCCTAATGAATGATTCACTGAAGATGACGTCAGTTTGGCCAACATGGCCATCATCAGTAGACTTGCACTGCTGGAATCAGAGACAGATAACTAATGTTAGCGATGACAGTGTTATCATTGTTGCATGCAAATTGCCAAGAAGGGAAATGGAAAGGACTCGATCAACGTTGAACTTCAAGAATAAAATGATTCCTCGTTGTTAACAAGATTTCGTGTAACCAGTAGTACACAACACGTCGTATTGTAAGTTGCTTTGTACCGCTGGTATTGGATATCAAATTGCCATCCTGGATAGCAATCAATACGATCATACAATGAATGAAATGATATCATCATTGGTTCATTTCTACTGTCCAAAATGCAAATGATTTTAGCCTTTTTAGCTTGATGACTTATCTTAATCACAGCAA